TACACGTAATGTTTTTAGGTTCATCGAGGATGTTGCTTATGACAGTAGTTTATTCCTTTTCATCACTGAGTAATACCCTATTATGTGAATATACCACAGTTTGTCGATACTCCTATTGATGGACATTTCAATGGGTTCAAGTTTTTGACTACTAATAATAAAGCTTTGATACACATGCTTGTAAAGTGTTTTTATGAATGTAAGTTTTTACTCATCTTTTTTTTATTTAATTTTTTTATTTGAGAGAGAGAGTGTGCATGAGTGGGGGGGAGGGGCAGAGGGAGAGGGAAAAGCAGACTCCCTGCTGAGCAGGGAGCCTGATATGGGACTCCGTCCCAGGACCCTGGGATCATGACCTGAGCCAAAGGCAGATGCTTAGCAGACTGAGCCACCCAGGTGCCTGGTTTTTACTGATCTTGGGTGCATACTTAGAAGTGGGGATATTGCTAGGTCAGGTCATATGTATATATATTTTTTGGTGGGTTTTTTTTAATTTAAATTTTGTTAATTAACATATAGTGCATGTATGTTTAATCTTGTGTAGCTACAAACAATGTGAGAGAATTCTAATTGCCCCTATTTGTACCAACTCTTCATAGAGACCATCTTTTTAACTTTAGCCATTCAAGTGGTTGTAGAGTAGTATCTCATCTAGAAAAAAAAATATTATTTACATTGAGTTGAATTCACCCTATTTAGCATACAGGTTTTGACCAATGCATGCAATCTGAAATGCCACTACAAGATAGAGAACAATTTTATCAGCACCCCCAGATTCTCCCATGTCCCCTGTACCAACCTCACACCAACCTCAGCTTTGATCTGTTTTCTTTCTCTATAATTTTGCCTTTTCTAGTCCTGGCTTACCAGGACTTATTAGCTGTATTTTTTGTCTTAATTTTCAAATTTATCATTGTCATAAATGCATATAATTTTAAAGGCCAAGTCATTTCTGTCAAGTTTATAATGATAAACAGCCGTCTCTTCCCACCTCCTCTTGGTTCCTGATTCTACTTTGAACTCTTTCAGCCCTTTGTGGTGGTGTATGCTTTTTCATTTCTAAAGAATCGTGCTTCTTTACTTGATATTTCCATTTTCATTTATTAACTGCTTCTAATGGAAGATAAGGATTTAGCTCTCTTAAAATTCCCACCAGCCACGCATATACCTGTGTCTGATAGAGACCTCCCAGTATAGATACATCATAATTTTTTCAAAGTTATTATTTAGGTTACTGAGTCTATGTAGTATAAGCAGCAGATCCTGTGGAATGTACCTTCATTCTATTTCCTGTCTTGAATAATGTTTTTCCAGAGGTGTTAATTTTTCTTTTCTTGGTTCTCTGTGGACCTACTTCTTTTTCGTATCCAGACTTTCTGACAGAAGTGTTTACCTCCTTCTCATATGTTCAGACAAATGAGACAATTTTGTGGTTCCACTTGCTTTCTTGGATTTGTTCTCCATGGAGTCCTCTGCCCTCCTGCTCCGTCCAGGACTGGTCGCTCTCCCGGCCACTTACATGGCTTCTTTTCTGAGCTCTCCATCATCATCTTTCTCAGGGTCAAAAAAAAAATACGAACCAGTATGTATCAGCAGAGCCAGGGATAATGTGCATCTGTGTATAAATACAGGTTAACACATCTATTAATTTTGACCTGTCTACCTATTTTAGGAGTCATGCGTACACGGGGGTACCTGCAAGTCCAGTCCAGCATCTTGGGTTCATTCTAGTTTTTTCCCTTTCTTGTAACTCTCTCCTATGACAATAAGAAACCTGGCTTCCAGGATTAATGTATTTACTTATTTCATCAGTTCCTCAGCATGTAACCAATCCGTCTTCATGACCACACCTCCTTCCACATGGACACCCTCCTCAGTCTGTTCTCACTCTGATAGCTCATGTCATTCCACTGTCCCCTCCCCCCCCCCCCCCCGCCTGCTGAAGTCGTGGTTGTGGATGCCCTTCTCTTCACCCTCTTCTTGTGGACCCCCCGCCCCCCATGGATGCCCACCTTGTTCTGCCTGGCTCTGACACGCCATGCCAGTCCGGCCCCCTGTATGGATGCCGTCCCCACCCCCCTTGCAAATGCATAAGTTTCCCTGTCCCACTTCATGGTTCAGGGCTCAGTTGTTGCAGGAAAGGAAGCAGAAGGGCCAAGATACCTGTCTTGCTTCTGTCTCCCATCCCCCAATGCTTTCCTTTTTTCAGTCTTCCTATCCCAAAGAATTAATTATGGCCTTTCATTTGCTTAAACCCAAGATCTGAATGCCCTTGAATATTTGCCTTTTGTGGTATGGGGGGGGTGGGGGGGTGGGCTCGATCCCAGGACCCTGAGATCTTGACCTGAGCGGGAAAACAGATGCTTAACCAACCCATTGAGCCACCCAGGCACCCCAATGATTGGATATTTGTGTTTATTGCAAAATGTTCATCACAATAAGTCTAGTTAACATACATTAGCATACGTAGTTACAAAATTCTTTTTCCTTGTAATGAGCAGTTTTAAAACTTACTCTCTTAGCAACTTTCAAATATGCAACACAGTATTATTATCTACGGTTGCCATCATGTACATTTTACAGCCCCATGACTTCGTCATTTTATAACTAGAAGTTTGTACCCTTTGATTGACTTCCTTCACCCATTTCGCCCTCACCTCCACCCCTGCCACTGGCAACCACCAGTCTGTTCTGTGTATCTGTGGGCTTGCAAACTCACTCTTTGAGACTGACATTTCAACTAAATCTAGGTAAGACTTGCCCTCTGGACGCACCATCCCCCACTGTTCTCTTCATTTTAATAATGTACTAATTTTAAAAAGCATCCGAGATTCTCCCCAGTTCACACTACTTATTGGTTGTAGGTGCTTGTTTGATAGAGCCTTCATTATCTCTTTGCATTGTGACGCATTTGGAAGCCTTAAAAGCATACCGTATTTAACTATAATTATCCTGTCTTAAATATTGGGATCAATTGGAACACCGTGTTCTTGCTTGTATCCCTTGCAGTTATTAGCACTTGAATTTATGGGGTCCTGACAGCGTATGATTAAAACCCCAGAGATAGACACTATTCTGCTAGTACCTAACGCCAAGCAAAATGAACGTTCTACAAATTCAGTGTGGTAATTTTGTGCCTTTAGATGGGGGTTTTACACAAACCACAATTCTAGAGGAGAGTTAGGAGGTAAAGAAAAAAAAAATTTTTTTTCAAAAATGACAGGTTTCGGGGGGCGCCTGGGTGGCTCAGATGGTTAAGCGTCTGCCTTTAGCTCAGGTCATGGACCCAGGGTCCTGGGATCGAGCTCCACATGGGACTCCCTGCTCAGCGGGAGGCCTGCTTCTCCCTCTCCCACTCCCCCTGCTTGTGTTCCCTCTCTCGCTGTGTCTCTCTCTGTCAAATAAATAAGTAAAATCTTAAAAAAATAAAAATAAAAAAAATGACAGGTTTCAGAAGCATAATTCTGTGATGAATGGCTGTGCAAAAATACTGTTTACACAAGGACAGAGAGATTCCCCTGTGACAGTGGAGCAAAGTCCAAACTGTTGCATCTTGGTTTTGTAGGACACAGGGATGTGGAAACTGCTTGTAAGACACCATGTTCCTCCCCTTGCCTGCCCCTCCCCCGTCGCAGGATGAGCCTGAAGCCAGTCATTCATGCAAAGGCACTTTCCTGTGGCAGCAGAACCAGCTAGCGATGTCTAGCTCGGTGTTCTTCTTACACCTGGCTCTCTCGTGCACTTTGACATCCAAAATTGGGAGCAGTGTTTTCTGTTCGAATGTCTTTTTCTCAACCGTGGGCCTTGATAGAAACCTGTGAATGATTTCACAGCATAGTATCCTGTTCTTTCCTGTAAAAAAAACAAAACAAAACAAAGCAAAATTCTTTAAATTTTGAATACTGACAGTTTAAAAATTTGTGAAAATATTCTTAAATTTATGCTCAAGGTAAATTCAACTTTCTTCTTGTAACATATCCAGAATAGATTGTGTCCTTTCTGGATGATTTCATGTAGAACAAATTGCAAGATAGTTCTAGAACCCTATTGGCAAATGCCTTAAGTTTTAATTACAGTTTGCATCTACTCACTGTATGTAGATGGCTGTTTTACACATATGTACCGCTTACAGCTGGGTTTGCTTAGGCAAGATGACCAACTTGATGCCTGATGGACATGGGAATGAGGGAAATCATTACAGTAAATTACTTCTAATGAGTGTTCAATAAATATTTAATATAAGTTGTCTGTTTATGGATCGATTAAATTGTGTACTCCCTTTACCAGATAGAGGGTGGAAAAGCGTCCATAAATGTATGTGTATTTATTGGAATTTTTATAAAGAAGTTAAAGGCTTTATTTAAAGCTTCGTCAAGCCAACAAATTTTTTTATTGTCAGGGGTGTGAATAGCATTGCCAAGAATTGTTTAAAATGTTCTTTTATTATTTGTTTGTTTCAACTCTGTTAGGTGCCAGTATTTATATATGTAAGATTTACCATTCCAGTTTAAAATTGTTCCAGAAGAGTGGTTCTTCACCTGAGAATTTAGATAAGAGAGAGGCTATATAAATTATTTTAAAAGTATTTATTTTAGTAGTATAGGGTGACTTGTAGAATGTATATATATGGATGAAAGACCTTCTTCATTCATGCAAAAACGCTTACTGAATGTCTAAGGTATTAAGGTATTAAGAGGTTGAGCTGCCTTCTGTCTTGTTTTTTTGTTCTGTCCTTTCTCCAAAGGAGCAGAGATGAGGCGTTGTTCTATGTGAATTTTAAATCTTTTACCTATGAAGAGAATAAAGCTCTAATACAGATCTAGATTTTGATTGTATAAATTTTGATTGTGTAATCAACCAGTGTTCATATTCTAATTAGTCTGCTAATTGCCTTTTGGATGCCATCCCAATATTCCAATAGAATATGAGGATGCATATTGCTCATATCTTTATATTATCTCAGATAACATAAAAGATTGTGTTTTCTTATTCCCCGGCAGGTTGGTACAGAGGATATACCCTCCAAAATAAATCTAAAAAGGTATGGTTTATCTTTTACTTTTTACATTTGAATCTGTCTGCTAGTTTTGTGTTATGCTACCTGATCGCATTTTCTGCTCCTTGCTGTCTCTAGACCTAGTTTGTGTTCTCTGGGATGGCTGTTCTTTAGATCTGAAAACAAATTCTCTGACCTCAATGTATAAGTAAAATAGCACAAGTCCCATGGACCATATTTCCCACCAGCCAACTTAAGGAGAAAGGCCAGAGGTGAATTCACACACCAGGTAGGGCCCTTGCAGGCTTTTTGCTGCTCCCTGTCCCTCCAGCTCAGCAGGGTGGTGACACAGTGACATTGTTATTGTTGGCTGTCTCCTTCAGGGGGGACCCATGCTTCTTCTTTGTCCTTTGGCTCTGGTGCTAACATCCCAGAACTAAAGCATCTCTCCATTTCTACTTGAGTCCATTCTTTATTATAAAATAGATAAGCTAGAGTAGTAGTTTTGAAACTCTGAACCTCACAGCCAACCCCAGTAATACGTCATGAGATCAACATTGTGGCTTATTAACCAACATCTTCCAAAAACCAAAATTCTGAAAAGTAGAAAAGAAAACGGAATGCCGTGATAAATACTGTCTCATGAAACTTTTGTGTGAGGTACATATTTTTTAATGTATTTTAAATTTTATTTTATGTATATAGTTAAGGACTGGGTTGTCATGAAAATGTATCTCATCATGGGTGGAGAGTTTGAAAAATACTGACCCTAGCAGGTTCCTGTACCCAGTGCCAAAATTACTCATCATCAAGCTAAAGAAAATCTGTTAGTTATGTTAATACCCCCTCAGTTAGTTTTAGGTCAGGTCAGGGTTTTTCCTTTGACGCTGCACTCTGGGGCAGCAATGCGGGTCAGCACTTTGTTTTGAAAGAACAAGGATGATAGAACCTGGTAGGACCATTGTATTTCACAGTTAGTTCACATGCAAAATAGCTAATTAGGAGAGGGGTAAGAGAAACATTTTAGAATTTATCAAGAAGTGAGTGAAAAAAGAAAAAACCCAACAAACCCCACAGTTCTTATTTTTCAAGCATGGCATGTGATACAAGTAATCTGAGCACACAACTCTCGAAATTGCTCAGGGCCCAGAGAAACCCCTTTCTACAAGGTTGTAGTCATGAGAAACCAGTGCTATTTGGATCAAGCTTTCTATATATTTGGCTCTGAAGTCACTACTTGCACATTTACGTGTCCACACACACCATTTGTTAACGTTGACAATTTAATACTCTTCCAAAATAAAGGGGTGTTCGCTTGTCATGTGAGGATCACCTCCCACAATTTTGGTCCTTTTATCCCTCCCCAAATCCTGATGCTGAATTTTTCTGCCCACAGTTCAATTCCTCTGTTTTCCCACCTGTTTTCTTTTCCAACTTAATTACTTTGATTTAATCTCTTGCTAACTTTAATTTCTCCAGGCCTTCCAATAGGGACCGATGACGGGGACATTCTGGCATGAATGAGAGCATAGTAAGACAAAAGCCTTTCTTTCTTTTAGGATCCTTGTATGTGGTTTATAGATACTCCTGCTTCTTGGTTTGGGTTTAGCCCTATCTTTGTTTATTTTATTCATAATTATAGAAATGATGCTTATTTTGAAGTGTGATTGGAATGAACCATTTTGAAGTTCTGAATTTATTAAAGAGCAGGAAGACTTATGCCACTTCTCAGTCTGCTAAAAAAAATGTCAACTTAAAAAAAATGAACAAAACCCCATTCTCAGATAAGATCACACGAACTTAACAAACACAATTCTTGATTTTTAACTGGTGATTGTGAATCGTGTTGGAACAAGGTCCCCCGCCACACTTTTTCCTTTCAGAGAGCTACAGTATGTAAGGATCCTTTTTGCACGTAGAAGGCCTCGGTTTGTAAGGCATCCTGTGATCTCCTAATAGATATATCCAGCTTATAGCCTTGTTGTTGGCTTTGAAAAGGAAGTAGCATGCTCCACTAGGGTCTAAATGACAGGTTCTGGGTGTGTTTTTAATTTTTTCGTTTGTTTTCATTTTCTTAAAAACCCTTATTTAAACTTTAAATCTCACCCATAAGAAGAATTATTTCAGGAAGAACTTCTTTTAGTTCTTGATAATTCAACTTTGTAATTCAATGAAATGATAGTACAAACAGGGACGGTGCGTTTAGTTGTTGATTTTTAAGTTGAAATATCTTCCTGGTGGAGAGCTCCAGGAAACATCAAGGGAATTCAAATTCAGTCATCATGAATTATGTTCAGCTTTGACACCCTTTCATTAAGAGATCCAGCCTATTTGAAATCCTCTCCTAATGCTGTTACCCTGTGTTTGCTGGTCTTTAGGGGAGGAGCTATTTGAAAGGCCTATTATTTTAATGGAAATTTTTGGTGTCATTTATCAGCAGACCTAGTCATTTAGAGTGGTGATAAAATGAGCTAGTGGTTTTGCGAATTGAAGAAGCCAGGAGCTTTGCAGAAATTGATTATTGATCTTGGCAGGATTGTGGAAGTGTGGATAAGGGCAATATCTAGAATAATCATTAGTTGATTTTTTTTTTTTTCCCTCAAGTGAGTAGGTTGCATTGAGAAAGGAAAATCAAAATTGAGATAAGCTATAAATTAGTAATCTATCCCTCAGGTTTATCCTGCCTTTCTGTGTGTCAAATGGCATAGGAAAATTCTACAAGGCTCAGATTTACTAGAGCAATTAAATGGATGTAAGTGGACATATGTTATCATGGAAGGATGGTGCCTACAAATAACAGGGAGGTAATGCCACAAAATAAATATTCTCTTAAAATGAAAGTCATCATGTCTGAACATTCAGTATAAATTATCTGCTTGTAATCTGCTTGGGTGTTACAACATAAGACATTGTTTATATTTCAAATGCTTCTATCTTGGATTTCTCCCAATTATTAGGAGGAGACTAGTCATCAGATTATGAATGCACAAAAATTTTAATTCTTTCTTTACCTTCTTGATGAGAAAAATCTTCTGCAAGGATATTCCCTGGGATAAGCAGTGTTACATCTTATTTTAACTTCCAGATGTGACTTCTTATAACTACTGCTTTGAGTGGTTCATCATTTACCAAGTGTCCATTCCCCATTCCTCCCCCACCCCTGGCAACCCCTATTCTACTTTCTGTCTCTATGGATTTGAGTACTCTAGATCCCTCCTACAAGTGGAATCCTAACAGTATTTGTTTTTCTGTGCCTGGATCATTTCACTTAGCATCATGCCCTCTAGGTGAGTTCTGGATGATCAAGTCTGGTTCTCCACCCAGATGGCAGTCAACAAGACATTTACCTCAGCTTAGCAGACGGAAGAAACACTCAAAGTTCCTTAGACACCCTAAGGACAGATCTGGAGCTTCAGAACACCAGAAATTAGGCTCAACAGGAATTATGAGTACATTGAATTTTTTTTAATTATTTGATCAGTTTTCCAAAATCACTTTGAATCCTGCCCCTGTAATGAAAGAGGTCGGTGTCACTTTGCCTCTCTGTGTGTTCTGGGTCTTATCAATAACAGATCAGCATAGTACTTTCTTACTTATACACCCCATGCCTACCCCCTTTTTTTTTGGTTCTTTGTGCCTGGCAGGAAAGGATGGTCATTTTGCTTTTGACTCAGGCAGTGGCAGGATCTACCCTGTCATCACCAAGGCTGGGAGCAGCTCAATCTCAGATTTTCTTACTGTTTCCTGTTTTATTGGCGAAGGGCTAAGATGGAGAAAGAAGAGTATTAGATAAATATAGCACACGAAGCCAGACACAAGACTGACCCCAGTGGGAATTAACTAGTTTTCTGTCTCTGAATGGATTAAGGATCACTGGGTACACACACATCTTTGACCCAGTCCCCTAGGTAGGAAGATCTTCCTTTCCCACCTTTGTGGTCAGCCAGCCCCGACAGAGAATGTCTACAGGGTCACACTGACCTCCACAGGTGCAGGGCTAGGAGCAGTCGAACCAGTGGTGCCTGGTAAATAGGCTCTTCTACGTCTGTTGGTCTGGCATGCAAAGTACCCTAAAACAAAGAACAGCAGTGCCTTTTCCAGATGGCAGTTTCTCTGTTTATCGATGAGCGTATCACACAGTTAAACAACAGAAGCCGTTAGCATTTAGGAAAACTCAGATCCATGACTTGCTTTCTATTGGTTCAATCTGATCTTCACTTCTTCAGTTTCTACCGACCAGTTTCCAGTCTTTCTCTTAGGCCCTTATGGAGCCTTAGTTTTCCCATGGGCAGCGTCTCAACAGTGATGTAGAATCGCCTCTTAAGAGCATAGAATGGAGAGCAATTTGAGACTGGGAAGGGCTAAAAATAACCAGATAACTAGTACTAAGTGATTTGGGGCACATTTGGTTTAAGTGAAAGTGCTGCGGAGGGATTGTTTTGGAAAATCAGTATAATTTTATGGGCCACTAAGTACATAGCCTTCCATGTCACTAATTATGCGAAACCCTTTCAGGGCAGCAGCTCCTGGCATTAGGATCTGGAGGGTTTTAGGAGCTAGACATGTTTGTCCACTTCCGAAGCGCTTCTCCCATGCTCTGTGAACCCCGATCTTAACTTCTGTCTTCCCAGCCACGCTTTCATGGAGGCACAGTCAGTGTGGTCGGGCCTGCAAGCCTGAGTGCACACTCTAGCGATGCTCCCGGTATCCTGCCTCCGCCTCGTTCATTCCCGATGCCAATTGTGCTCTTTGCCCTGTGGTTTTTATGGCTGTATAACCGATGTTCTTCTCTCTGTAGGGGATTTTCCCTGAAACGTACATCCATTTGAAGGAGGCAACCGTGGAAGACCGAGGGTAAGTTCCAGTCCCAGAAGGACCCCTCAAAAATGGTGAACGTGTCAAGTTATCATTAAAGAGTTTCTCGTGTACATTATTGCTCTCATCTTGTCAGTTGCACTTCTCACGGGCGAGAGAAGTGAATACAAACTTTTTCCTGAGATGAGTCCTTCTTTTGTAATTGCTCCTCTCTGGCACCCTTCCCCAGGATAGTAAAGACAGACAATGAATGAATGGAGGGCCTTCGCCTTCCTCTTGTGCTACCTGCTCACTGAGTGTGTGCACGTACACATAAATGTGGGGCACTCTCGCTGGTAAGATCTCCGAGAGCCCCCAGTGTGGCAACCGTGAGAGAGAGATGAGCAGGCTGCATCCTGCAGTAATCAGCTCTGAAGCTTAGACAAGTCGGTTAGCCTTCTTGCACCTTGGGCTTTGCCCGTACAAATTGGAGGAAAGAAATCTGGCCCTGTGTTGGCCATGAGTTTAATGTGAAATTATGAAATAATGTGTGTGATCATGCTCTGCAGATCAAATCCATTAAGTTTTGGATATTCTAATTTCTCATCCACCTTACCAGTTGTCCTGAAAAGTACTGCCTCTATGGAGACTGAGGAGGAGTAAGAAACTCAGCCAGAGGCAGGAGAGAGAGAGGCTGCTGGGTTGGTGAGCCCAAGGGCAGGAGAGTGAAGGAGGGAAGGAGAGCCTGGAGCAGGACTGGATTCCCAGGGTTGATAGAGAGGAGAATGGGTCAGAGTCACGCAGACTCAAATCAGCAAAAGAACATTGTCAGCTTTAAGTTCTGCACCTGCATTTTATAGCCGAGAGATGGAGACATGCCCAAGTTCACACAGCTCTTCAGGGGCAGAACCAAGACTGAAAACCAGGTGTCCTGCCCTCCTGGAGAATCTTCTTTCCAGTGGGCCATTCCTGGGCTGCCTCCATTGTCACTAGCTGAAGCCACGTTGGCGGAAAGGCACGGAGGGGGGCGTATCCCCACTAACTAGGGTTGCCGGGTAAGAATGCAGGGTGCCCAAGTTAAATTTGAAATCCAGATAACCACAGGTAATTGTTTACGGTAAATAGGTCCCAGGTATTTCATGAGTCATACTTCCACTAAGAAATTATTTTAATCTATCTGAAATGCAAACTTAACTGGGCATCTTGTAGTCTTATTTAAGTCTGGCAGTCCTACCTCTCTTTTCCATTTGTTCGCTTGCTCTTACTGTCCTTTTGCTCATCATAAAAATACCAGAGGATTGATGTGAATAAATGTTGGGCCTGCCTTGTTGTGAGTCTCCTTGAGTCATTGAGGCGTATGGTATATACACATTTTCAATGCAGTGAGGCAGCAGATGAGAAGAAAATCGAGCCCCGTTCCGTAAGAGTGCAGAGCCTCGGTCCCCACCAGCAGGTCCTGTGTGAGATTCCCAGCCCCACGCCCCTCGTGCCTTGCACACTTCTCCACCCACCCTCCCTAACGAAATGGCCGCTTGGCAGAACCAATGAAAATACTGGATTTGGGCTTCCTTCCCCGGGAGTCACTGAAGCCGGCCTGGCTCAGTGAATTGCTCCTATAGAGATGTGAAATGGGGCGGTCCAGGCTGGGCCAACGCCTTTGTTCTGTTGCAGAAGCGGTTTATTTTGAGTTGTATTGGTAAGCCCCTTCTTTTCTCACAGGCTTAGGTGTGATAAAGTTTGCTCAACGAATTTCCCCACAGTGGGTACGTTTTATTTCCAGCCGAATCAGCTTCACGCCCATCTTTGTGCTGTGGGGAGTATGACCCCTGTCAAGAAAAATAGTGATGATCAGCTCAGAGTAAAGTGAGCATCTGTCTGGTTCTCTTTAGGCAGCACGAGACCGTGATTCCTGGGGAGCTCCCACTGGTGCAGGAGCTCACGTCGACGCTGCGAGAATGGGCTGTCATCTGGCGCAAGCTCTATGTGGTGAGTTTTCCCCCCGGGTCTTGAAGTTGATCCATTGTTTCTGGGCTCTTGGCCTGTCTGTTCTGCTGCAAGGTGTCAGCAACACATTAGCTCTCTGCATGGAGTAGGGTGCATGTTAACTGGACCGTACAAGGGCTGATAACCAGCGTATTCTCGTTGTCCTGGAGTAGGGTCATTGATGACATGGGATGGTGGAAGAAACATCGGGACAGGCTCTTAGCCTCGACGTGTCTCCCAGTGAATAGGAATTTGTCAGCGTTTCACTGGCCAGCCACATGAGGACTCCCAGGAGGGCAGCATTCTTTACTTTCACCAGCGTGTCTTACAGACTCTGCAACTTGAGTGGTACCAAGCGGTGGTCTGAAGAGTCTTTCTTTTCAAGGCCAGCTCAAAGTACCGTGTCTTGCAACAATGGTTGGACCTCAGAATGCGAATAAGATATACCAGCTCAGTGGGAAATGACACAGGAACCAGCACGTTCCCTCCATGATAAACCATAATCACAAGCTGCATGTAGGTTTGCAGTTAGGAAAAGGTAGATCTGGCCTGTAATATTATCAGAGTGAAAACACCTGGGCAGCTGTCTTGCAAGAGGCCAGGAATGTTCCAAGTCCCCTGGCAGCAGCTCTTTCCTTGACACTGGAATGCACAAACACCTTTTTCTCAAGTTCCCTCTTTCCTCGGGGACTTGGAAGTAAGTAATCATCACTAGGTCCTGCGTCTGTAAGCATCTTTCCCGGCTGACCAGGAATTCCCAGGCAGAAGGTATATTTTCTCATTCAATGCATGAATAAGGGCAGCAAGGGAGTAGACTAGACCCAATGGCCTGGAAGCCATTCTCTTTCCTTTATGTGACTTTGTTTATCTAGGGTTTTGTTCAGTCATGTGTTGATTCTTCATTTGAACGCTCAAAAGCCAATCTTAATAACTTATGGAGAATACCTTCCTCTAGACGCTTAGTACCAAAAACAGTAATCAGAAGCTCATTCTAGCATGACTTCCAAGAGTTAATGCAGGATTTCATTTCCATCCTGGGCTGTTGTTACCCATGATGGATCACAGCAGCAGAAATCACCAACCCCTTTGTTGGAAAAGCACAGGATTTTTCTCTGCCTGCCCATCTTTCAAGGCCTAATTCAAGTTCTTTCTTACTCATAATGTAGCTTCTAAACGCAGCAATCCATAATGTTTCTTTCTGGACCATAGGAACACTTACTGCTGAGCCCATCTTCTGGCCCTTGGGGCATACTGCCTTGTAATGCATGTGATCTTTTGATCTCTTTATGTGTAATTGAGGAGAGAGCTACCTGTAAGTTCTTAAATCATGAGGACAGACGTGCTGTTTTAAGCCCTTTGGCCTACATCGATCATCTGGTATGTTTGTTGAAAGCACGCTCTGGTTCTGGTTAATTGATTGGTTAGTGGCAGATGCAGCAAGTCTGATAGATGAGGAATGCATATACACGGAGAACTTCCTTAATGCATTCTCTCTGGAAATTGGTGAGTTGCGGAACATACCTGATTAAAGCGGCTGCCTTCCACTCTGGTCATGATCCCGGGGTACTCCTCGCTCAGGGGGGAGCCTGCTTCTCCCTCTGCTTGTGCTTGTTCTCCCCCGTCCTGCCCCCATGTCAAATAAATAAATAAAATCTTTAAAAAAAAGAAAGGAAGAAATTGTAAACAAAAAATAAAAAAAATAAAGCGGTAATGTTGGAGAGTGGAGAATATGGATGAGGTAGACTTTTCTTGTTAAGACACAACTGTTCTGCTCACTTCATTATTTCTGTCTTCCACATGTTCACAGGTGACTGTGCCCTGTCTACTATGGATAGAAATGAAAAATAAGTCAACCAGGGAAGAGGAAGCCTGATTCGTGAATTTAGGCTTCCAAAATCCCTTAGTAGTTAGGTATGGGTAAGCGCAGGGTGAAGATTTCCTATGTGGGCATTTCACTATTTAATAGCAGAAATGGGTGGGTAGGAAGGAAGGAAGGAGGGAGAGAGGGATGAAGGGAGGGAGGGAGGACCTCTTTCTTCTCTCAGAGAGCAGCACATTTCCCATCTTGATTTTGACAGCTAATCAAATAATCATTGTGTTAATTGTGAATGTTTAAAAATGTCTGCTAGCTGCTGTAGACGACTAAAAGGTATTCATTATGGGAATCTTAATCAGTTGGTAGGGCTCAGCAATCTGCTTCTGCTTTTGATACATGCTTATTTATTAAAAAAATAATTCACTTAAAAATGGGTTCGTTATTAATCATGACTTTCTCTGTTTTGTTCCTGTTCCTAAAATACTGACACTTCACTTCAGGCAGAATTTCTGACCTTCTTTCTAAAAAATTTGCATCAAAGTAGCAAACCTCAAAATATTATGCTTCACTGGGTAAAAGGTAAAAGGACCCCAAATCTGTAGTTTTCACCCCCCAACACACGATTTTATCAGTGTTTTTGTTTTCTGATTCTGTAAGTTCTTTCAGTTTGCATAAAGATAAATATCACTTTTACTAATCTACATCAGTACTTGTGTTTCTCTCATGCCTTTCCTCCCTCAGATTATGAGACCAGGTGTTCTGTTTGATATCTTTACTTTTTTTTTTTTTTGAGAGGGAGAGAGAGAGCATGCACATGCACACAAGTGGGGGAGGAGAGGGAAGTGCATGGTAGGGGCAGAGGGACAGGGAGATAGAATCTCAAGCAACTCTGCACTGAGCAGAGCCCCACACGGGGCTTGATCTCACGACCCTGAGATCATGACCTGAGCCAAAATCAAGAGTCAGACGCTTAACCGACTTAGCCACCCAAGCACCCCCTGTTTGATATCTTTCAGGACCCTTGTAGAGTCTTAGAACCTCCACAGTTCTCTACAACGCATTTCCTAGTTCTCTCCTTTTCAGTCTGTGCTCATGAGAAATGTATGTAGTAGATCCAGAACCTTATGTGAGAGGAAAATGCCATCCACTAACCAGTGTAAGCCCAGCCACGTAGACACAGGTAATTGTTCTAGTTCTAGACAGGAAAGACATTTGGATAGCTGGGATTTATTTTTAGCAGCCACACTGTAACCTGGTGAAATAACCATAAATATGTTTTCAAGGGGGGAGAAGTTCCTCACGCTGAAGAGGGGAGAACCCACTCCTCCAAAGCAGAAAAAGAAATGATGACAACCCCCATGTGCCTTTTTCCCCTCTTTGTTGTATTAGTATTATTTTGTCTCATTTAACTGTCTTGCTTGGTGATGTTCGCTTTATGCTTTTGGGAGGAAGCAGGCTGTAGAAGACAAACACTGGACTAGAAATTTGGAAGCTTGGTGCCTCATCCAGGCCCTGCCCTAGCTAGCTCCGTTGTCTGGATTCTACCCCCGTGTGAAAGCGATGTAAACTCTGCCTTGTTGACTCCACGGGGTTGTGCAAGCACGAAGAGAGGTGCAGGCCGACAGAGCATCCAGGACTCTGCACATGGCATTCTTGCTGCCGTCTTAGCTTGAAACAGTAGCCTCTCTGGACGTCCTCCCTCTGGGCAGCCTTGACTTGGCATCCCTCTGACCCAACTCGGAGTCTCTGAAGCTCCCTTGTGTGTGCCCCCTGCCCCCCATCCAAGGCCACTTCCTTTGCCTTGTGTTATCATCTTAGGCGGAGTGGCCTTGAGCGTTCAGTAAGCAGGCTAAGTGTTTCTTACCGCAGATAGCAAGTCTCCTTGGTTTAGGCTCAAGTCCGGGAGGCATGGATCATTCCAGCAAAGAAAGGGGAAGCCTGCCAATGCAGAGTGCAAATTCACAGCAGTTTCTGTCTTTGTCTATACTGCTCTTCCTCAGTTGGAGCCTGTTTAGTGGGTGTGTTTTCAGTGGTTGATCCAGAAAGGGGGAAACATTATGAATGAGGAGGTGTTCGCCTTAGTAAAACGGTGAGACTGTGGACACTGGGGTCAGACAGGCGGCAGGTTCTTAAAGTCTGGCTTGCTCCCTTACTTGGTATGTACTTTTATATTCAGAAAAAAATAGCAAACCCAATAATAGTTACTGCAAACAAACAAACTAAAACAGAAAGAACTCAGATCCTGAAGGCAGGGATTTGGGTCCAGGGTATGCCTCTAAGCTGATTCTGCAGCCTGAGACAAATCCTTTGACCCCTAAGTTGTACTTTCACCTAAAATGGTAACTGTATATTATATATGCCCTGCACATTTGCTGTAAGGATTCAGTTGGATAATCTGGATTAAAACTTCCAGGACAGTGCCTGGCGCTTTTGTCATCAAGTTGTGACGGCCCCTGACTGTCCCTTACAGCACTGCTTCATGTAAGAGCTCACTAATGGTAGGAAGTGTTAGAAGAACTAGATTGCACAGTGGAGTTCTGCCCCAAAGTTGTTTTAGGGTGTGCCCTCCAGCTTGGGGCTGATGGGTGGGCTCCCTCCCAGCTCTGTGTGAATGTAACTGCCATAGGTCTGTGGTTTATAAGTACTCTGCCCATTATTCTCTGCTGCCTCTCAGGATCATTTGTCCTCCCCAGCCTGGGAAAGTAGATCCAGTGAGCTGAACTCTGGCCTTCTTTCCTTTCTAGCAGCACATCTCCCTTGTTCCACGTGAGTTCCGCCAGCTGGAGGGTTGGATGCCTCTGCATTGATTTAGACATGATTGGACCCATGTAATATCCATATTTCCCTTCTCACTAACAACCCAGCTACACTTTTTGAATATGCACGAGTCCACATCCCACATTATATTTTCTCAACCAACTATTAGGACTTGAAAACTGACGAGTTAGAGTGTATTTGTGGGGACAGAAGGAGGAACATTTCTGAAAGATGGACTGTCCTGGAAATTCTGAGGTATTTGGTGATGTTAAACATACTCTCTGGGCGCCTGGGTGGCTCAGTTGGTTAAGCGACTGCCTTCGGCTCAGGTCATGATCCTGGAGTCCCGGGATCGAGTCCCGCATCGGGCTCCCTGCTCAGCGGGGAGTCTGCTTCTCCCTCTGACCCTCCCTCCTCTCATGTGCTCTCT